TCAGCCCACCAGAGTGTCTCAGCTGGCCGCCACACTACAGACCTCCAGCTGCACACATTTTTCAGAAACCCCTCCACTTAGAAGACTGAATTATCTCTAAAATTATTGACCTTCTGAATCAGTCAGACATTTCTAAGTGAGCATACTGTGTTATTAAATAAACCTGCCAGCAGATGGTGTGTTTCTACTCAATTAAGACATAACTGCATAATTTCAGCTAAATGTTTGTAAACATCAATAAACTCATTAGTAATGTCAACGTTCCAGAAAGAAAAAAAAAATTGCTAGCCAGGCTTTTAGGCTTTTTTTTTTTAAATTAAAAACAAACAAGCAAACAAAAAAAACCCACCACATACAACCTAAAGACTTTTTAACAAAGATGATAGATAACTGTCATCTGGTAAGGGAATGAAAACAAAGCAAACCTTGTTTTTTAAAGAAATTTTGAATAGTGTGAATGAAATTTTAAAATCTCTTGGAATAGAATCTCAGAGAACTTCAGTTTGGGCTTTCAGTCACAAAAGAAATCCCACACCCTACGCCCCCCACCCCCCAAAAAAAAAAAACCCCAAACAACTACAAAACACAAAAAAGTCCCCCTAAAAACAACCAAAACCCAAAACACTGCGCTATCGTCATCAAACCAAATATTTGCTCTATACGAAAAGGAGGACTCTCCAAAAGACAAGGAGAGAAAAACTGCACCAACCACAGCAAAGTACAGAGTTTTTGATTTTTCAGTGATGAAAAGGCAGCTGATGGATGCAACAGTTGTCATGCCATCCTCACAACCACTTTACCATACTCAAAACTCATTCATCAGTTTGCTACACCGACCTTCAGAAAACACCACTGCTAAGGCTTTGTCACATCACTGAATGGCCGTAAGAATTAAAGTCACAACCGTAAAGAATTAAATGCAAGGGGATACTTAACAGCACACAAGCGAGCTGGTTCTTAAAGTAGTTTTAAACGTCATCATGTAGAAAGAGAAGTGCCAGCTCATTTTCCCTCTGTTACAATGAAATGAAAGGGGTGTATTATATTCCATTTAACCATTTTCAGTCTGAAAGATTTTTTAAAAGTCCGCCCTGAAGTTAGGTCTGCACCAAACCACATACTGGCACCCAGACTACAGTTAGCATCAGGTTAGCAGAGGGACTGAGTAGCAAAACTGGTATCATTGCCTTACGGGTGTCCTCTAACAAGGCAGAATTACTGTTTCCCAGGTTTCTTGTACCTGATCTACACTGCTCAAAACTAGCTTGAGTGTCCCTATACATTTGTAGTCTACAGTGCAGTGGCAGTTACTCATGGGTAACAATTCATTTTGGGGAAAACTGGAAGAAAATTAGGAAAAATGCAAAATATAGAACATATAAAAATTAGCTACATGTCTAAATCATTATTTCATCCACAGACTGACAAAATCTATATACACGCAGTAATGACATATACCTTACAGTGTTTTTGTACTTGTTTTTAAAGGCTCAACCAAAAAAAAAAAAAACAAAACACCACCCAAAACCCCAACCAAACCCAAACCACAAAACAAGAATTATGTTAGGTCTTTCTCCCAGAAGGCAATTATGCCAGACTCTACAGGCATGTGCATCATGAAAACAATTATACTCACCAGTTGTTCTTTCAAATATTTGGGTTTGATTCATCAAAAAAAAAAAAAATCAGAAACAGTACTTAGTAAGTACTTAACTATCGTTGTCTGTACTTGACCAGAAAATATATATCCTCCCTCCCTGACCTCCAAAGCCTAATTACATTAAAAGCCTGGACCTCCCTGATGGTTCCATTTGTCACACAGCTTGCTGTTTGCTGTGGGACAATCACATGCTTTCTTTCCCCCCACACATATGCTTGAAGATGTACTCAAAAACAAATACAGATAAGGCAAAAAACCCACATCAAACACACCATCACCAGTTCTTTTGTACAAATGTAAGATTCATCTCAGCACTTGCTTGTACTGTTGCTTTCTCGAAGTTTGGTATGCAGTCCCAGACAACTCTGATGAGTAATATAACTTGGCCTTTCCTTATACCTTTACAAAAACTACATATGATAACATCTATCAGCAGGATACTTCAGTTTAATTTTCTTTGCCACTTTATATGTAAGCTTCCTATCAGCTGTGATGCAATAGTTCTGCCATTCTCAAAAATTCAAAACAGCTGGAGATTTGTTTGCCAAGTTCAATGTGTGGCAATATATTTATGCTAAACTGGTTAAAAAAAAAAAACCAAGCACGTTGTTTTCACCATTATTGTAAATTGCACAATCATTATCAAAAGCAACATATGAAAACTTTTATCTAAAACTAGTCTTCTGTTAAAAATCATAGAACTTTTCATTTAATATTATGGAACTCAATAAATGACAATCATATAAAACCAGTTTTAATAGCTACATTACTTGCATTACCAATTAATGCTAACAGGGAATACTAATTCAGAAAAAGACACATGGAATTGGTAATACATATTTAGAACATGGGCTTAGCTGCATTGCAAGATGTGGCCTCTGCCCCTTCTGTCCTCCTTATCAAACAAATAAAAACATTATCCATTTCCAGTCTGTACATACATACTAGGCCCTGACTTGCCACGCTTGGCTAGAGACAAGTGCACGCAGCAACTAGAAACCAGCCCTCCTGATCCCGTTTTCAGGATAAGGCATCCATGTCTCCGTCTAGAGGGCTGTTGCTCAGGTAATTCTGCAATGCTGTGTTTTCAGGCTTTCTGCCTGGCCGCTTAGCCCCAGTGCAGCGGAAGATAGCTTCTGGGGCAAAGTTTTGGTGAAGAGTAACATTGATTTCCACACACCTTAGCTCCAATGAACTTGGGTAAATCCTGGTCTGCTTTTCGGGACACCTTCCGGTCAGCAGCTGGGATACAAGAGGCTGCTGACTGACAAGGATGGACACAGGACAAGGAGCAGGGGTGCCCAAGTAAGAGCTCACAACCAGCACAGGGAAACCACAGGGTCTGAAAGTATCTGTGCTTCACCTTTAAATTAAGGATACCAACAAATTCCACAACTGTCAATTTATCATTAATTAGTAGTCAGGAGAAGGTGTGGGGGAGCTAGCTGTGGTAAGCCAGCCTAATGCTTTGCAGCTGCGTCTGCGGAAAGGAGCAGCCTTCCACTGCTCAGTTTCCAATTCCTGCTGCTGACACTGGCACAGACTTAACCAGCAGAGAGCCAGCCCACAGGGCAAATACTCCTGACAACTTCAGCAAGTCGAATGAGTTGACATAGATGAACAACCAACAAGCAAGGGGAGGTAAAGCCCCATCACCTGCCACAAAAGGCGAAGCACTCTCCCCCCCGCACCCCATTAGACTGACATCGCCATCTCACCTTAACAATGCAGTCCTAGTATTTTAGATTGGAGAAAGTGAAAGGCCAACACTAGGAATCACAACGAAGTGGTAGAATCTGCAGAACGGGCTGATCAGAGACAAGAATTGGACTATTCACCTGCACCTGAAAACCCAACAGGAAATGGGCTGGGAAACAGTGACCACTGTAACACACGACTGAGGAAACTGTCGACTCCTGGGAAACAACTACAGCTTGCACCATTACTGCCATGGAGAATAGCTGTTGTGTGCAAGGAGATAGGCTTGATCTTGGCTAAGCAGCACCTGCTGCAATGCTTTCCTGACTGTATCTAACCACCTCTAAGTAGAGAGATGGCTTCTAGAATGCATGAAAGCTTAAAACAGACAACTAACAATTTCTACTGGGCTGTACTTATTAAAGGAAAAAGGATTACAGGCTTACTTTTCAAGAGGGCAGCTTTCCAGTTAACTACATTACATCAATAGTAAAAAGCCTCTTGAGTTCCTATCATTCAAGCAGTAAGCCTATTTTTTTTCCCAGACAACACAGATTACATGATGTGGGAAAGCTACCTGAGAACCTTAGGTTTGCTTTCCTGGACCAATCCCTCCGTGATTCACTATCTTAGGGGAGCAGAAGAGAAAGGATATAAAGGAGGAAACAAATTTCTTGTTAGCGATGCTCAATGATGCCTGTCAGTATATTACCTCCTTCAAAATCCAATTTTCTCATCCATGTCCACTAATGAGAAAAAACAACCTGGGCGCGCAGAGGATTGCGCGTTTTCCTTGCTCATCTGCACCCAGGCTTGCAAACCAGCATCAGCTTAAAAAATTCTCACCTCGCTCCTTGCAAGAACTCGTGACACTGTCACGAGTAATACTGAAAGTACACATTGTACGAGCAAAGAGTTTCACAGCCTGTGTACCGTATTCTGCCAGAAGGTCACCACACCATCATTCTGCAAGAACTAAACATTTACATTTTTACATCAGAAGGACACCTGGAGAAGCAGAGTATGGCTAAATGAGCCAACATAGCAGAGATCCACCACATTCCTAAGACAGCTACAGGGCAGAAAGACATATTGAAATTTACACTGATGTTATTTGCTGTCGCCAGGTAAAAATCAGGGTCTGTACCTCTCAGACAAGATTGGAGATACCAGAACAACAACAGTAAGTTATTTGCAAACGTCCCAAAACAGTAACCCTTTCTAGTTAACGCCTACTGGCTCTCACAACTTACACCGATTTGGGGGGGATGAAAGGCCTGAGCAGCACTAAGTACATTTATGCGTTCATTCTCTAAACAGTAGGCCTATCACAGCCAAGAACAAACCACAGTACTAACCGCTCTCTTCACAGCTCCAGGCAACACAGCAATTTCAGAATAACCCAACTTATTCAGGTCCTGTATGATCCTGTTCTTGAAACGCTTGGAAATTCTAGTACCAAAGTTTAGTGCCCTATTGATACAGGTACAGGTATGCAAATGAGATCGTGTGCCAGTCGGCAGGTGCAGAGGCTCTGAGACCAGCTCAGCAAGAACACATCCCTACCCTCCCATCATTCTGGCTATTAGCATACAAACTACGTAAACATTATCTTCTGAAAGGAAAGAAAACATACAGTATAGTTACAGATAATTGCTTAAGTTACTTTCACCCTTTCAAAATTTTTACTGTGTTCTATTTTAAATGAAATTCTTTCATGCCTTTTCTCCAACAGGAAAATGCATGCATAGCACCACAATACTGCAAAGCTCTCCAAGTCCTCCCAAAACAACAATCCTACAAAATTCAGTGTAACTCCTTTTGTGGCTTACAGTTACCACATGAAATGGAAGGACTATAGAGATTACATGTGAAATAAGAGCACTTTATCATGGTGTGTTGGTTTTGGGGTTTTTTCAAGACTTAGGTTATTTTTATAGGTGGGTGTTCCAGCTACTTAGTACATTTTAAAGTCTAGCTCGACATGGATGCATAAAAGCATTCTTAACCCAAAATGATTGCACCTATTTATATACAACTCTTCAGAATGATAGATCTATACATGTCATGTTTGAACTCATAATGCTTTGTGAATAACAACACAGGGCAGTAACCATAAGTTGTTAGCTTCTGATTTCACCTCAAAAGCTTTGAGTATAGCAAGATTATTTTTGAATTAGAAAATCTGACATGGCCTTATCTGAATAATGCATTCTCTTAAGACAAAAACCACCATGAATCCACACACTCACTTGTTCTCACAAGTATTCTTAAAACCTGTAATTTAAAATTTGACACTGTTCAGTCTCATACTACACTGTATTACAGCTTTTAAATTTCAATACCAATGCAGGTTTAATAAGCAAGTCATAAAGAAAATACTAGTTTTAAAGATGTATCTTTGGAAACGCAGACATGGCATACAGACCTACTGCTTTAAATACAAAGCCGAATGTCTCTAATGTCGCAAATATTTAGAGAGGATGTCTATTGCTACCCAAAAGCTTGTCTCTCTTTTTATGCCGCAACAAAAAAGTTCTGTAGTGGAAAGTAATAATTCAGTATTTCCCAGGCTTCCTTTCTCTTCCTGAACTTTCCTTTTTCCAGAAAGTTTGAGTCCATAGGAAATTTGCTCTCATACTTTGCATCCTCTTGTTTTGTTACCATGCACTTTAAAAGAAACACAGTAAGTTTCATTACAATCAAGTATATTGGCAACTTGCCCCTGCACTCTGGATAGCAAAGTCCAAACTCTATCAAGCCAGGAGATGTTAACTTTTGCCACTCCTGTTACAGGGTTTCACTTAAAGCACTTCTGACCTGTTCAACCTGGAACGCTCACAACACAGAAGCCAGAGGCCAGACTCCAGCTCATTACGAGATGTATTTGGATGGCTACTTTCCAGCACTATGGCTGAGCTCTTTGACGTTCCACTCAGCTTTAATTCTATTGCACAGGAAGCTCATTCATAAATCATGGACATGTTAAACAAAAAAAAAAAAGAAAAAAGACTTCAGGGGCACACCTCTAGCAAACAAAATTATTTTTCAATTAAAGACCTTCCTTTTTGCACATCCTACATGAGCTTTGTCTTACAAACTTCAAATCAGTAACATTTTTATTTAAATACTCATGTTCTTTCCCAGTAGTAATAGCATTTTAATTCTTAGTAAGTATTTCTCATAACCAAAGACCTGCTCACCTGGAGAAATGATGTAAAAAAAGTTTTTGAATTCATCCATCCAGACTTCTGCAAGTCGCCTGTTATTTTTGTTGATTATTTGCCCTGTACCTCCTGGAAAAGTGTATGGTGTTGCTTTTCTGAACACGTGCCCAACATGTGAACAAGTTACAATTTCCAAAGTGCCACCACACTGCCAAATCTGAAAGCGACAGAACAATTATTGCATAGCTTCAAGTCGTTAAAAAAAAGTTTAAAAATGTTAATCACTCACTTCTGTTCAAACTGGAGAAACAACATTAGTTGGGGTCTAGAACAAATACACACATGAAAGAGAGATGCATGCCTGTTGCCTGCTCAACAGATAAAGATGCCTGAGTCAGGTAGCATAAGAGAGTACATCAGGCCTCACAGCAATAATGCAGCAACAAGAGACTACTTTAGAGAACTGGGTGAGCTGACAGCAAAGGAAGGAAAAGGTTCACATGAATCACAGGGAAGTAACAGGTGGTTATCTGTTCAAAAAGTCGTCATAAAATAGAATGTCCATGTTACCAAAAAAACCCCAAAACATCACCAAAAACAACAACAACAACCAACCCACCACCCCAAACACCCCCAAACACATTCACTTCCCAAATAAGGTTCTGCAAATACTTTTATTTTGGACCTCTAGAAATGGCAGATTTAGAAAGCTGAACTACTTCAGGAGTATCCACCTATATACTCTGAGCTGATAAGTAAAACAAAAGGAAATAGTGCTATTTGGTAAGAATGAAAGCGAGAACTGTGTTGGTTATGGTCCACACCCAAATGAACACGTGCAATCATTAGGTTAGAAAAGAGCAAGAGTTTGTAACAGAGGTGCTCCCATTTCACTGACACATTAAAGCATATGCTGACAACATCAACCTTAAGTTAAGCTCCCCAATCAGCTTTTCTAACTAAACTGCTTTTACCACACATGCATCCAAGTCTTCAGAATGACCACTCCAATCTTCTAATCAAAAGGCTCTGGCAACTATTCACCATGCACTTTTCACTGACACAGAGTCTTTGAGTATCTCCATGGGAGGAACTTGATGGGAAGCAAAGTGCTAACAGGAGAGAACACCGACGCAAGGCAGCAGAACCGTATTTTACAGAACTCAAGATGCACTATCCTGAGTAACTGCACACTAAAAAGAGAAGAATTTTACCTACCCTGAAAGAAATTTCTAAGTTTTCTCCACCCCAAATATCCATTCCAGCATCATATGTTCCAATTTCCTGGAAGTAATCTCTGTCTATTGAAAAAAGACCTCCTGCCATTGTAGGTGTCCTGAGGGGGAAAAAATATATAGGACAAAAAAAATAAGCATCAATCACTGTGACAACATATACTTAAACACATTTCACACTTACACTGACAAAATGGCTTTTCATTTCCCAAGTTCCTAACATGTTCCTTCTCAGTAGGCTTCCATCCAAATTCAGTTACCATTGATGTACTTGCAAGCTCAAAATTTTCCAGAGATGGAACCAGTTAGTGACTGTTCTCCTGATTTTCTCACTTCAAATTGGAGTCCAGATAGAGAAACAGCCCCTAGAAAGCTGCTGCCATTCTTGAGAAAGACTTCTGCCTCCAATGCTGGTAACTCAAAAAAAGATACCAGTTTCTTACAGGAGTTTATACTTCTGGCAACTGTTCTTGGAAAACTTATGGGAGGCCATGAAGTGGTTTGCTTGCTTTCACAGCTATTGCTTCATAAAGGGAACTGCACAGTCAGGGTTACATCCAGATTTTCTTTACAAATTCCATATTGGTAGGAAAAAAATAAAACTGTGCTAGTTTCTCCTAAATTTAGCAACATCTCCCAGATTTCTTTCTTTTAGTCAACAAATACACAACAGGCAAATGATATTTTAGGCTGACAATGTAACTCTGTAGTTCAATTATACAAACTATTTACACTTTTAGCATGAATGATTTTCTATCACTAGTCATTTTCATGAAACACTTTGGGCTTTTTCCTTAAGACACATAAAATATAAACTGGGTCACAATCTAACTGAAAATGCCTGTGGCTTTTTTGCCTTAAAAAGGAAGCTTGGGGAGGGTGGGGGGCATGTGTCAGGAAATACAATTAGCCATATCCTGAGAAGACCTCTGGATTTCTTAAATGAAAACCAAACAAAAAAAGAGTGAAGACCATACCCTCAACTTTATGGTAAAGTAAACACTGCCCAGTTTTCAGAACAGTAAGGCCAGAAATTTTAAGTTTGCAACTGCTGAAAAGTACACATTACACGAGTTATCTGTTTCTCGTTACCTCTGTCATAAAATCAACATCACATGCAAGCATAAATTCACCTTCCATCCATGCACTTTGAAGATGTTAATCTATATATGTATGCACACACAAATATACACACATATATGCCGAAAGTCAATGCATCTTTTCAAAATACTGTTTACTTTGTTAGGAAAAGATAAAAATAAGGTTCAATACAAAAAGATACAAATAAGCTTCAGTATAAATACTAGTTAAAAGCTAGTAATTGACTTAAAAGTTAAAAATAACTCAAGTGACAAGCTGATTGCTTGCCTCATTCCTACTAAAAGTTACTAATAACCAATCCATGTAAAAACTTTCATGTTGTTCCTTCAGCCAGACAAAAATGATGCTGCAAACACAATTCATTAAGCATGTACTTACATGTTTGACCTTGAAAGGACATGAGTAAACATCAGGTGAACATTTTAACCAATTTAGTAATTTCTCATTACCTAACAGGAAGGGTTCGATCTCCTTTCCGTCGATCCATCTCTCTCTGAGGAACAGGATACCAACGAAAATTCAACTTCCAGTTGAACCCACCATAGGTCATGTCAGAACCTGCCATATATTCGAAGGTGTCATCACTAATTACGTCAATGATGGGACACACAACTGTTCTCCTAGGAAAAAGAAAGAACCAAGCCTATTAATTAAAGTGTCAAAAAGGCGGTGAATTTGGTCTTTTTTTAAAAAAATCTTTGTTTTTAAACACACATTCTTTAAGTTTTCATAATGCTGTTTCTTAAGAACAGTACTCAATAGATTATTTCCATGAAACATATTAAAATTCTGTCTTGCCAATTAGAGCTAATTCATCTGAAGGAGAATGTGCTTTTCCGATACAATTTTGTCATTACTAGCTCTTTTTTTAAATAGTATTTGCATTATTACCAGTAACAAATATTCATTCTTCCACAGAGAGAAAATTTGATCACAGCTTTCTCAGTGCTCCACAGTAACTATAAAGAAAACAGGAGTTTTTCGTCTCTAGTTAAGTGGTCAAAGTAACGTGCATGTTTTGAAATTAAAACTTGGTCATTAGCTCTGGGGAAGTATTCTTATACGCCCTTAGGATAGTCACTGTTAACAAAGTAAAACTACTTCATCACAGTTGACAGAAAGAAGCCTCCTTGTCGACTGTCCTGACATTATTAAGACATATACTCACAGAAACTAATTCTAATCATCTTAAAGACATTTAAGTAACCATCCTCAAAAGCATGCTTCCTCTCTCGGAAAGCTCTGTCAATTTAGCTGCAGCCCCTGAATCTTTTTAAAGGGTTTACTTAGTAGAGCAATAATTGTAACAATTTATGTATTGTAGCCTCACGGAAGGTCTATTAATTACAAGTTAAAGGTTAGTATTATGTCTTAGCACAGCTGTGAACAAAGATTCTTTATTATTTGTAGCCGTTTCATCACCTTATGCTATATTTTGTATCGTTACATTTCTTTAGCTATAACCGTAAGAACAAAACAGAGATCTGTAAACCATATTTAATATCTAGTCTATTTAATATGCTGTTTACTAAAAGACTAGCGTGCAACTACAGAGTTACTGCTCAGATATATGAATGTTTTATGAAGCCAACCATTCTCTCACTTCTTGGTTTTGTTTTTATTTCCCCCTAAATACAATTTCCATCACGCCATCACAGATGTGTGTTGTGAATCTTGACTAATGATAGAAATATAAAGCCCCGTTACTGCACTATGAATCAGTAGGATTCCAGTAACTATTCTAACTTTAGAAAGTACACCCCATAAGAACAAGTCACAGCACAGAGTTCCACCATACAAATACATTACGCAATAAAGAAATCACAATGAGAACCTGAAAAGAGTAAACCTGACAGTTTCTTGCTCGCAGTGTTGGTGTTACATGAGATCAGGGCTCCATTTCTTCCTCAAGAACATCTTCCCAAATTCATGAAGGAATGAGGCCAGGCTGCAGACAGAAGACCTCAAATTCCACTGCGCTCTCAACTCTATTCATGCTCAGCTCTCCTGCTATTTAACACATTATCCCACGCATCCCAATACGAGCTTCACTTTAAACCAAGTTTTACTAAAAGTGGTACTGAACTAACCTTTTATCCTTACACCAATGAGAATTCATCCAGCCCTTCAGAAAGTAGGTATTTGCTTGGAGGCTATACTGTAACACTTGGAACATTTCTAACTGAGCGCAAACACCAACACGGACCAACACGCGGATGGTTACCTGTCAGCTTTGATCCTTGCCAGCAGAGGTTCAAGCCAGCCTACTGTACATTCACAATGAGCATCTAAGAAGGTGATGACCTGGCCTTTTGAAGCAGCAGCCCCCTTTAATCTGGCTCTAATCAATCCAGAACGCTGTTCCATTCGAATCACATGAACAGGTACTTTTAATTTTTTCACATAATTCTCCAGCGGTCTTTTCAAGAAATCTGCAAAGAATGATCAAAAACCATGGAAACCATCAGTTACATAGTTTAGCTTGTTCTTTTTTTTTTTTTTTTTTGGTGAAGAGGCTTGAAATAAGAGACATTTCCTCATTTCTACCCTTTTTCTACTTTCTCAGCTAGTTTCCTCTGCTGCTTATTCTACACTTCACAACACGCCCTTCCACACCTCCATGTGTTTCGCTTGCTAGAGCACGAAGTTATTCCTCCTCTTCATGTCTTCATTATGGAAAACATAAAATGGAGTGCAGAATGCTTACACAGAAACCAGATGGGATAGGCAAGTTTTTATTAGGAAGTAGATGTGACTCTTACTTCCAAAAGCATATGCTTAAGTGTTCTTGGACATAACACTTCTCTACCAAGAAAAAACAGAAAGCGATCCGACTAGCTGAACATAATGAACTACTTCAGCTGTAAGCTACATTCCTGTAGGATTTCTTTGCAAGAAGTTTAAAACATGTCAAATGCATTTTTCAGTTGTGCTTTCTCTAGATTTTTCTAATATTTTTTTCTATTAAATTATCACTGACACACCTAAAAACCAAAAATAAAGACAAAATCAGCTATACATGAATTAATATCTAACACCTACAAATCTCAGCTTAGCTGAGGAGCAAATTATTCAAAATAGAACAGCCTTAGCTGACTACCATATGCCTACAGACTCAAAATTACTTGCATTATAAAGAGCTGCCAAATTAACAAATTTCCCATTGCCAGGCACAGTTTTTGTCCATCATGAAAAACAAGACCGCGATGGATGATGCCAAAGGAAGAACAGATTGAGGGAGAAAGCAACAGACAGTCCCAGAGAGAGAATTCTGCAATAACTTGCAGATTTCAAATCTGAAAAAAAGGCAAAGTAGTCTTACAACACAGCTACAGAACTATTGGATTTTACACTAAAAACACACGGGAGTTGTACTATGACAGTGCAATGCCTGTAGTAGGATTTCACGTAAGACAGTTATGTACCTCATATGAGAATGAGTGTGACACTGGAGGGGCCGCCGGGGGGGG